AGCCATTTCTGTGGAATTCATTACTCAAGGCAGGCACAGTACGGTATTTATCTAATAGCTAATGATACCAAAATTCTGGATCAGAGAATATAACTACTTTTCAAGAGGGAGAATCTGTATGTCAACAGATTTTGTTTTCCGCAGCGGAAAATAAAAGCTGAATTGGCTGCCAGTTTATTTTTAATGCCGCTTGGATATTGTTTAATCTGAGGATGTTCAACATGTATTTTATGAATAATTGGTGGGCACAGCTACCTATTAAAAGTGCCAGGGCCCTGAGTGCGCTAATAGGCCTTCACGGCCCTGATTGGGGTCACCTGGGGCCTCTCCCATGGACCCAGGAGCCCATTCAAGCTCAGCTCGGGGCCTTGAGTCCTTCCTCGAGCTGTGCTGGAGGAGTGCTGCTCTCCAGCTCAGCTGTGGCTGTGCCTGGCCATGGGCCCTGTTGATCTGGTCCCTGAGCTGTGGACTGACTTCCCTGCTTGACCTCAGCTCTGCTGTGAGTTTGCCTGCTGACCTGGCCTCCTGGCTGAAGCTGGGGCCCCAGTCTCTGGGGCTGCTCCAGTTGCTTTGTTTGGGAGTGGTGGGATGAGGCCCTGGGTGGTGAGACCCTGCCCTGCCAGCTGTGGTATCCCCCTGCCTTCCCGTCCCCTGGGGAGCAGCAGCCTGTGCTGTGCCCTGAGATCTGGTGCTTAGAAGATAAGGATGTAAAAAATGGATCTTTGCTAGCTGGAAGAGATAACCCAAAATTTATTTTATAGACTAAAACATACTGCTCCAGGAGGATTTTAATAACATGCCTATAAAGGGATAGAGAATCTCTGCTATACTTAATTTTTATCTTCAGACAAAGTAAAAACTACTAATATATGCCTTTGTGGGGGCTCTCTGCAAAGAAAGTACAAATGGCATCTGTATCAATAAGTTTCCTCATATTGTTTTGCATCTTAATGGACAGAGTGTTAATTTTACCTATTATCAGTTTAGTCTGAAAGACATGTCTGGGTAGTATAAAAAAGATTGTAATCTATTGCCTTATACAGTCAAAATTTCAAACAAGAAGAAAAATATAGCTGGAATTACTTTGTTTAGTGACACACTTTATTTTTGGGAAGACAATTTTGGAGTGCAAGTACATTTTTAAAAGCTCCATTTCAGTCTTTATAAAGACCTGTTCATACAAAACTCTTGCCCCTTTCTTACAAAGGAAGGCATTTGTGTACAGACAAGTGAACAAGCTATCATTCGCATTGTTTTTTTACTGCAAATTCAATGTGGATTGTAGAAACTTTTTTTGCAAAAGAACTTGCCTGATGTCTGTTCTGAAGGCAGGTTGCTGGTCACATGCTTGTGAAGCAGCTGGTGTCTAGTGGAGCAGCTAACAAGCCTCCAGCAAACCTGACACACTAACCTACTTTCTGGGTATGTTTACCGTTTGCTACTTTACTCTTCTCAGTGTGTTTTGGATTGCTAGGGCTGCAGTCTTTGATCACATAGAGTTTGAGTATTCAGGCCTTAAAATAAGAATGACACAAAGTCACTGCATTTGCGTTTGAATTATATGGCTCCTTGTAAAATTAGCTTTTAAAAGCAGCAGTTGGGATGTAATATTCATTGTGCCTAGCACAAACACATACAAATATACAAATGCAGCTACTCTCAGAAAGCAGACTGACTGAATAGCATTTAGTATGGCAATGACACTGTCTTCTTGAACCTTTGTGGCAATGCCTAGCACCACAGGCCTATTCCCTCCAATGTTCTCTTTCAAGAATTCAACATAGCAAGTGTGCAACTGAGTATCTTTCAGGCTATGTGGACTCATCTGAATCATGGTCAACAGGAGAATGAAGCAATGCTAGTATGAAAATGTCAGAGTCCTGCTATGAAATTTAGTTATGCTGAGGTTGGTATGGGTTTAAAAAAGCTGGTAGAAGCATTTTTTCTATTGGTAAAACTATTGACATGGCTTATTGTCAATAAGCCATGGCACAATATATTGCATGGATGCTCATATGATCTGACAAAAAGCATCCATTACTCTTTTTCCTTCATTTTTTCCAGCTGTTTTCTCTCACTTCTGGAGTCTTTTTATTAAAACTAGGCAAGGAGATAGATTATTGCCTGAAGAGATTCTCCTCCCTTAACTTTGTACACAGTTCTTCTTAGTCTATGTGAAATGCACCATGTACTAACTGATTCTAAGCTGTGAGACATCTTCATTCCTTAGTCCCATCAAAACTTCAATTTCCTGAAAGCTTTCTTATACTAATTAACTTGCTGGTTTACTTGCATACTGCTTGCTTTTCTTGATCGCTATTTTAAAGCCTGATTGACAAAATGTGAATATCACTGTTGATCAAAGTACTAGTTTTTATAGTGTACCTTTTTTGTGTATGATATGAGTGACATTTGTGTACTGATCACAAACATGAGGAGCAAGCAGAATATCCCTTTCTGTCAACCTGTTTCCAAGGGACACAACCAGAGGGCAAGTGGGAGAAGAGCTAAGCTTGACTTCTCATTGTTAAGCGAGGTGGGCAGTCTGCAGAAAAGGGCTTCAGCTGAGGAGGGCATGTATCTAGTGACACGTTTGCCTTTGGCTCTTTGCATCTTGTGTATGAGATGCAGAATCTGGAGACACAAGTGGCAACTCTGTGCTGGGCACTGAGTTGATGCACAGAAGAGGAGTAGAAGACAAACTGCTGGTGTGTGCATGGCTTGTTCCCTCCTACCACTGATAGGACCATAGCTGACGTTTTGTTCATAGATACCTGGAAGCATTTTATAGAGTGATCATATCCTGCAAATATGAGCTCAGATGCACAAGATTCTTCTTGATAATGTTTCCTTTTTAGGTTAGACATACAATGTCTCCTCAAGAGCAACAGAGGAAGCTTTTCTATACAGAAAGCCTCAGAAAGATTAGTCTATCTGAACTTCTCAAGTAGGAACCTGTTCCTTTACAGCAGCCCAAAGGTTATTGGCAAAGATAAACCCATGACAAGTAGATTTAGATGCTAGCTACAAATCCCCATTAATCTGTTTACAATCTACCACCTATTGCTGTCTGCAGAGAGTTACTGCAATGCTGAATGTGCTCTGGTAATAACTTAATGAAGAAATCAAATTGTAAAAATGTACTTTGAACAAAATAAGTAGAAAAAATTATCCAGAACTTAATCTCCCACTTCCTTGAGAACGTGATTATAATATGGCCAAGAACTTCAGAGTATTCTTCATAGGTTTCTAATACTAAATTGATTTTTAAATGCACAGTGGTTTTTATTATGTCATTCTACTTGAAGAAATTATTGTATACTTTAAAAGATGTCATAGTCATTGTATGATGAATATTCCTTTCAGTTTCTATTTTACTAGCCCTTTAATATGCTTTTTAAGTCTCCCAGATCTGTTTGAAGAAATCTCTTATATGGTATGTCTGCATAGATAAAAATCTGTTTATTATGCTTCTGGGTAGCAAACTAGAGGTGCATTTTTGGCAGCTCCAATTTAGACAATCATATGGCCTAAATATCAGTTCCCTGGTCCCTAGGGGAGTCATTTGAAGAGGTAGGCAGTGAGGATATGTAGAGTAAACGGTGAGAGTCGAGCCCTTCAGCAAGGGCACCTTTTTGGCCAATACCTAGCTGAAAAGCAGCAGTGAAACCTGCCTGCACCTATCTCTGTTCAAGCTGGGACTGAGCAGGTCAGGATGGGTAGATGCTTGGGGTGGGCAAAAATGTGGTGCCTAAAGGGGTAGCTTTTGCTCTTGTATTGGTTTTATAGACCAAAAGCACCAAACTCCTATTCTGCAGTGTCATGAATGTAACTTCCCGGATACCCAGCTGGAATGGGAGAAGCAAGGGGAAAGCCTGTGTCTGGGTAAAACAGTTCCCTTAAAAGGTTCTTGGGACTCCAGGGACAGCTTCTGAAGCCCAGGACTGCTGTAGTTTAACCACGATATGAAGCTACTGGTGCTGCTAGAAAGAGTTCAGTCTCTCTTGGGAGTCAAAATCTGCAGGTTTCTCAGAAAGCCAGTGGCTCAGTGAGGTGGTGGTGAGCTTTGGAAGCAAACTGCAGGAGGTGTTGCCCCTGAACACCCTGTGTGCAACTTCCTGCCAGTTAAATGGATGAACTTGCCCAGAAGGGTGATGTAGTCGCCTAGTGCCAGCTGGACGCAGCTGGAACAGCCCCTCCTGTCTCCCTGGCAGAAACTGGGCTCCCTCAGGCCATTCCTGAGGAAATCTCCAACTCCCTCCACTGGAGATGGCCCCTAGACAGGAGGCGATGCAAAATTCAAAGGGTTAAAAAAAAAAAAAAATATATATGGATGAAAAAGCACAGCCTTTCCTAGTCTTTTTCTCTCTCCTCAAGTCACTTGTTTCTATAAAACTGTTTTGACAGCAGCAACAAAAAATTAAAATGATGAGAAACAAATGTTTGTCTTAAGTTACCAGTTACTTCTTTTTTAGATGCTAAATTGCACGTGGCTTTAAATTAAAAATTTGTATGTTTTCTTTTTCTCTTTTTGGCTGTAATATGTCATGTTAATCTGTTCCACTTCTTTCTGCTGTTATATAGCTGTTTTAAACTTCCAAACCCACACATAATTAACATTTTGTAAAAATACAATTTGTCTCTAATTTTTAGTTTTAGGAGAGGACAAATCTATGAATGTTGTTGTGCAAGCAGTATAGATAGATGAACAGAATGATACTTGGTTGTGTTGTCTTAGTGGGATGTTTTCCCCTCCTTATCTATTTCGTGAGGTTGCAGGTGCCTCAGAACCTACACGATTATTTCTGTATGTGGATTAGTTATGTGGTCCTGCTGCAGAATTTATTACATGTGTATGGAACGCTAATGGATTAGCTTAATTTCTTGAGATGATTCATGATCCCATGAGTCCTGGCACTGCTGAGAAGTGCCATAAAATGCTAATTGTCTTTGGTAGAGAAAAGAGTGGTAAAAACAGCCTGTCTGCATGTGACCGCCGGGATGCCTTCGCTCAGGGGCAGAGCCGCCTCACATCCCGCTCCATCTTGAAGGTTTAGGTATAATAAGCTTAAAGCCGTTGTGCGCATCAGCGGGCGCTGCCGTAAGAAGGGTTTAACGTGCTTTTATGTACGCTGATCCAGTGGCCTGGTTCAAAATTACCTGAACGTCTCCGCGTAGGCACGCCTTGGAAAAACGTAAGCGAGCGTGATGTGTGTTGGAAGAGTTGCGCTGGGTATTGCTCGGGTTGGTGCCCTTTTTCCCCTGTCAGATGACGCTGAGCTGAGGGCGAAGTCGAGGAACCCTTTGAAGCTGTGGGTTGCGGCAAGTTTTAGTCAGAGCGTTATGTTCAAAGATAGGGGGTTTTTTTTTGAGTCTGAAGCTAGTGCTTGAATTGCATATTGAAGTCAGGATGAACACACTGTGAAAGCAGTAGAAAACATGTTTGTTGCTACTGTGGAAGGAATGGGTAAGCCCTAAAAAGAAGTTTTGCAAAGAACTGTGAAGCTTCAGAGGTGTCGTGTAGTAGAACAAGACAGGGGTTTTGCCTGTAAAATAGTTGTTGGGGGAAAAAGCTATTCAAATACGGAGTTTTCCTTTTACAGAAATAGTACGTTAATAGAACTTGAATAGCTAAATTTCACCATCTAAATAATACTAAAAAGGCAATAAATTTGTATTTTTTCAATTAAAACTAATATTAAGTGAAATCAAGTGTAATTAAGTAAAAATGCTGAGGTGAATGCTGTTATTTTTAACAGTCTTTGAGTTGCGTTGTCATAAATGAGTACTGAAAAGTGATGAATCCCTTAAGAGGTGGAGGCTTAGGTTTTGAGAAAGATAAAGGTGGATTTATTAAAAAAAAAAAAAATCCAGCTCAGAAGTAGACCTTGATAGGAAGAAGACTTTGAAAATGTCACTGAAACGTGATTTCTTAAAGACATTTTGATTACTACAACGGGTATTTCAGCTGTTAAAAACAGATCCACAAACTTACTAGTTTTCAAGTGTGAGAAAGGTAAAGTGTAATTATTATGATGCTGACTAAATTCACAGGAGACTTCTAAGCTTAATTATTGGAAGAAATTTTTCATTTCTCTAGAATTTCATTTCTATTGTGGATTTTTTTAACTGTTTGTATTATAAACCTTCTTTTTTATGGCACTTTATTTTCTCGATTCCTGTTGAGCCCTGGTGTTGAGAACTGCAAGTAAAACCTAGAAATCTGAAGAAGCAGGGTTTTTTTTTTTTTTTTGCTGTGTTTGGCCTGAATTTGCATGGTCCGTTGGGCTGTAGCAGTTACGCAGAACCTCTTGTTTGCAGGTGACGTTTTAGCATGGGAAGTAGTGAACAGCTGCTAGTTATAGTTGAGTCACTTGTTGGCACCTGCTCAGAACCCCCTGCAGCGACCCCCATATGAGAGAAGTTATAACGTCTTCATTTTAACTGGTGTGTGTAGGATTCTGTTGCCATGATGAGCTGAAGAAGTAGTTGTTTAACTTAAATTTTTCTGAATCCCTATTAATTTTGTGGGCGTGTTCTAGTAGGGTAACATGCAGCTGTGCAATATACTTGATCAGAAAGTCAAAAAGTTAGTAGAGGAAAGCAGGTATATACACTGGTGCGGTAATATTTGATAATGTGCACGAGTGAGGATGTGAATAGATTTGCTAAACCTCCTCAGTTTTTCAAAATATATCTGCGACTTTGGTGCTGCTATCTTTGATGGCAGCTTGGGTAGCTCTACCTTGGACACGCACTTCACTGTTTGTTTTTAATGTAACTTATTTCTTTAACGTAAGCTTATATTTGACTGCATCTCTGATAGTTATTTTTTATTATTAAACTTTCTGCTTAGATTAGCTCTCACTGTTTAAATTGCTTATGATGGCCGATGTGGCTTTGAATGCTTGAAGACAGGTTGATTAGACTGTACGTGTTATTTTTCTTAGTTAACAAGAGCTTTCAGTAACCTTATTTTTTCAATGCAGTACATAGAGTTTGACTACTTTTATCTCTGGCAGAAAAATATAAACTATTAGTACATCTAACCTAGTTACACTTAATTCTGCACTGAGGGATTCTCAGACAAGTCTGTGAAAGAGAAGTTCGTTGCAGCAGAAGTTATAGTCCCTCGTTAATAGAAGTATTCAGCCGTTATAGGTAACCAGTTCAGATCTTTATGAAATTCAGAAGGCCGCTGAACAGCATAGTTCTATTAAGTCAATAAAGACTACTTGACACATTTCTTACTATAACGGATATTATTGTCTTTTTCTTAATTTTCAAATGTTGTTTTAATTTCAGAAACTATTTTGTTTGCGGCTAAGCTAAGCGGCGTTAGGAAGGATACTGAAATCCTGAGCTTAGAACAGATAGCTGCATAGGATTTTTTTCCTCTCCGTGATAGGCATATAAAGTTATTTATGATGATTTCAGGGTGTTTGGTGTATTTTTATAGAAGTAACCTTAGTGATATGATGAGGGATGAGTCTTTGAATGATTATTTGAAATGGAAGACACTGAAACACAAACTTTGGTCATGCAGTATTAAAATAAAATAGCGTGAAGGGAAACAGAGGACTTCTTAGGTTGAACGATCCTGATATGGTAGTTTGTGATACACCTGTCAGATCGGACAGAGTGCCATCTGCTTTCCTGGGAACTCTTAAATCGGAAGGAGGCTGCGGGCTGGATGACTGGTTACTTGATTGACTGCAGCGAGTGCCTTGCTTCTTGTCCTGTGACTGTGTAGCCAGGGCTGTCCTGGGTGGGTGACTTATGGCTGCTGGTACCTTGGGCAGTAAGGTACTGGGCCGTGTGGTGGAAGAGAGAGTGTCTGTGTTTTGATCGTATGCCATATAGTTCCCTCGGCACTAGATAATATTGCCAGTGAAGGGAAAAAGGCAGGAAAGTGCTTTGCTTTTTCCAGTGTACTCGATGTGTTCCATGAATTTTAGATTACAATAGTAGTTGTAGGCAGTATTTACTGAACTTCACTGTTGATGACAATGGCAAATGTTGAGTAATTCATACTGTTTACATTGTATTCTTGGCCAGTACAATGTAAATGCAACTGCAACACTCCTTTAATTTTACACTTAAGCTTTCCTTGCAGTTCTGTGCGTAGCATAGTATTTGCAATATAAGGTAAGCTACGTTGCGTTAAGATGATACAAACTCATTCGCTAAAGCAAGGAGCTGTATCAGTCAGTGAGGAAGATGAAGATAATAAAGGAATAACAGGTTACTTACCACCATTTTTTATTTTTTTTTATTACCAGTTTTGAAATGGGGAGGAAAGGTAGTTGACCTCTTGATTGCTGCCGACATTTTTTTTTTTTTTGGTAATTTTTGCATGGCATGGAATATTAGGATTGTTTGTTTTAAACTAATAAAGATTTTGTGGCGTTTTATCTGGACAGGAGGGGAAAACAGACAGATGCTTGTGAATGCCCCATGGCGGCAGCTACCTCTGTTCATTCATTTATTCCCCACTGTAACTTGGAAGCATTCTTTAGGTAAGAAAGCTGCTTCAAAGTATGCTGTGTATGTGGTTTATTAACTATTACACTTCCTACGCTTCTGTGTTGAATATTTAAATTACATCTCAGCGTTTTGTTCTTTCAGTTACATCTCTTACTCCTATGTTGTTTGTTCACACATCATTATAAACCTACCGTCTTTCAGTTGTAGAAACTGACAGCACTTTTACAGGTAAACTTAGATATGTACGTGCACTGCCGCGCAGCGTTAGCAAAGGGATAGTCAGCTCATTTCACTGAAGAGTGTGTAATACTTGCAGAATGTACAAGTCATACAAGACTACAATAACTTTAAAACTGTTCTGGGTGTCATCTGCACACACATTTACTAATGTATGTCAGCTTTGTAATCCTAGACAAGTGTGACTGTGCAGCTCGTAGATTTTGTGATGTACGTGAGCTTAGCAGCCTCAATAATTGCACAGATTTCGGTTCTTGGTGTTTGTTTGTTTATTTTTTGAGATGAGGGCTGCTTTTCTTGTTCTCTGCTGCACTAGTTTTAAACTTTATGATTACAAACATGATATCAACTGGCCGATTTTTCAAAAGAAGATGTTATGAGCTAGGAGACTGTCAAGCCCCTATGTCTCCTGTCTTATTAAAAAATAGTAATTTTTTTAAAAAACATTCAGCATTAGGATGTTCTTAAAGGTGTTATTACTGATTAACTACAATATTTTGAAAACACCCTGAAGTTGTAATTTGGTTTAGTTTTAAATCTGCTTTTTCATTTCAAACCTGTTGTGGGTTACTCAGAGGCATGTTGCAGTTCCTGTTAGCTTTCTGTTTAAACTGTATCAGTAGAAGGGGTAACTGAATGTGGAGGTTTTGGGCATACTTTCCCAAGTGAATAGTAGAAGATGTTCTTTGGTACTAAAATACAGAGTAGCTCCTTTCATACTGGTGTATGGGAGCATATTCATGCATAATCAATATTTTTCCAATTGTGAGAGAGTTTAGCCAACTTAGTTTAAAATTATTGTCAAGGGTTGTAATGATGCAGTAGCATGCCTTTTTTGGTAAAACCGAGTAACATTTAAAACCAAGAGTCCTTAAATTTAAAATATTAGATGTCATACCTTTAAATATTTTGATCAATGTAGCTTTCATAACGTGCTGGTGTTTAGTAGGCTGAAAAAATTAACTCTTCCTATGTGGGTACATAACTTCTTAAAATAATACGCAAGCTGTGGCTATGCTGAATAAGAATATTGAGGTGACTAAAACTGTGGGAAATACCAAAACTAGAGTTGTGGGAACGCTTGCATCTTTCTATTAGTTTTGAGACAACAGCATTTGGTAAAACTAACTAGCTTGTCACGTGCTGTCGTTCTACTTACATGTCTGACTTGCAGCCTGGAGAGTTTTAGTCGTCTTTGTCTCATTTCCAAAACTGAACTTAGTCCCTCCTACGGGTCTCCCAGAATTTGCAGAACAGCTTTTCTTTGGTCGATGACTTCACAGGTCAGTTCATCTTCTGGGACCCCTCTCTGCCTTCTGGTTAAGGAATCCATGCACACATACAGGATGACTCATCAGTGGGATGGATGTTCAGACACAGAAAGGTGCTGGTAACTTGACAGGAACTTCCACATTCTTTGGAGGTATGTGTGCGTGTATGCCTCTCATTCAGTACTACCTTGATTATATCATATGGAACTAAAATTCGGTTACCGTCACTTGTGTTTTAAAATACATAGATACATACATAATCCAACATATTCCTCCTAATTTAAAATTTAAGCATTCACTTTTACACGGTAAATATTAGGGCTTCATGTTTGGTACAAACTTTCTGGGATACATAACCAACGGAATCTTTTTTCTGACGTTTTCCCTCGGTGAGTCATATAACCTAATTTTGCTCGTTTCAGAATTCTGCAATATAGAATATTAAATAGACAGAACATTCCGAAGTTGTCTGTTCTAACAGGATATAGCAGCAAGGACAAGATATGGCCGCTTTAATCAACAACAGCCTAGGTACTATATACACCGTGTATATCTTGTCACGTCTCCTGATGCTTCTGAAATGGATATGCTACATCTTGTCTACAGCCTGGTCTGCAGGGTAGGCTTTTGTACCCTTTCTCTCAAGTAGCTCTCGGAAGTCAGAACTTCTTTGTAGGCGCCAAAGGAGCACCTGTGAAGCTCAAATAAGTTTTGAATGGCAAAGCGAAAATTTCCCTTTTCTCCCCAGTTACGTGCATTTTACTGAAATGTTGCAGATTTGCATGAGAATAGCAAAAACACAGAGATGCTTCTCAAAGACAACAAGATGTGTTTTATTTCATTTTTTTCATTCTGGACTTTAGTTTTTAGGAAACAGCAAAACTTTTAATGCAACCTAAAGAGAAGAGATAAAAATCAGCAGGTATTTGAACTAAACTAAGTTTAGCAAGGCTATGAGCAATGCGAAGAGAGAGTTGTATGGGTGGCTGTACTAATTAACCATATAATGTAGTGGAATGCCTGTTCACTGTGCTAAAGGCTTGAGTAAAGTTGAAAAGTGATAAAATGTGGTCATGTAGATAACAACTTGATAAAATGGTCTAACAGCAAAGTGTTTTTTTCATACTGAGCGTGCATCTTCATTACAGTAGTTACTATTGTACTAGTATAATACTAGTAGTTAGTAATTGATTACAAATACTGCTTTCCTTTGGAATGGAATGTGTTGGAATATGCATACCACTATTAATTCTCTTTGGCTTAATCACTTTTGCCATGTGTTATGTAAAGCACATATGTCTATTCAGGGAAGAAAAAGTTCAGGTATTAAAAATAATCTGAAGAGTGTTACTGGTTTATCCTTCTGAGTGTATTATGTATCTCTAACATAAATGGAACTTTTAAGAGACTAAGGTGAAGATTTCTGAAGACTACTGGAATAAATTCCTTGGTGGCTGAACCCTTTTTCAAGAGAGCAAACAGTAGTGAAGCTGGTCAGACAGGTCACTCCAAAGCAATTAGCTAGGTAGTTTTTTTCCGCTCATATGTACGTACTTTCTTTTCTTTTAAAGAAAAATCTTTATGAAAAGCTTTAAAATAATAAAGTGAATGAAAGGAAATGCTTTCCTCCTTTTAAAAGAAAGCATAGATGCACATGCTTGCTGTTCTTTTCAGAAAAATGCATTGTTACTACTTGCGTATCTGACACCTCCTCAGCCGTTACATTTAGGATGTATCAGTCCAGCCCTACATTTCAAACTGGAGGACAGAACTGTAGTGGAACAAAACACATGGCAGGAGCATGAGTTTGAGTTAATTTGTGAATGTTTGGAACTTAACCTGATCTGTAGTTCATCTACTTATTGCTATGTTTGTTTCTGTTGTGCAGATATGGAAATAGCTCAGAAAAACTAAGTAAGCTGGAATAAGAACTAGGACCAGTATGACTTTTTAAATTAAAATTTCTTTCTAGCTAATTGAATGATTAAAGATTGAAAAGAATAATGTCAAAGAGAACTTGAGAAGTCTAGAAAAGGCATGCTCTAAGGGCTGTCTTGGAAGATTTTGTGTTCAGTAAAAACAGACAACGTGTTCTGTTGATTGTTGAAAAATGCCTGATTGCTTTGAGAAGTAGCTTCGGACTGGTTGGATGGAGATAAGGTGTAGCTCAACACTTTAATTAGAAGGACTTTTGAGAAGGGGCCTCATCCTGCTGTAAAATGAAACAGTTGCTTGAAAGTTAAGGCAGTTATTGAGGATTTCCCTAGAACAGACTGCTGTGCTTCAGCCTACGGAAGCAGAGCTTTTCCATATGTTGTAACGTTATCTCTTTTTAACTCTGTCTCCTGTGGCAAACATTGTTCAGTGGAGTAGTTTCCTACAGTTGTATGTACAGCGTGGTACAGCATTTCAGACTCTCATAAATTTTTCCTTCTATTTCAAACAACGTAGTGGGGATACGGGGTTTTCCAGAATATATATCTGGCTTTCAGTGATACCTTCGTGTGCTCTTGGTTTTCTGCCTAACACAAGGAGATGTTTTCTTCTTTATGTCCAGTTTTAGGCAGAATGCAGGTAAAGCCAAATGGCATCGAAGTAAAGTTCTGTTCAGGTCACTGTAGTCACATTTAAAATTTAACCTGCTTACAGGCAGAGTTATCGTGCTTGTTTCTGGCAGTAAATCTTTGTTATTTACTGCCTAATAACATGTCTTTCACGATCTTGGTGCCTGCGCTAGATGATGTAAAAACTGATGCGAGATGCCTGTGTTTATGCTACTGATTATACTTGGTAAAGTTAAATTCATATCTAGTTTCTCAGCTAAAGTTGGGCTTACGAATTTTATTTCTCTCAGCAATGTGTATGCATGTTGATTGCCGTATTGTAAAACTCAAGGGTGGAAGTTACTTTTATGAGTTTACCTCATTGTGAGTTCTTTCTTTTCCTCCTGAAAATGTCCTGCGTGCCATTTCAAGCAGTTGCTGCAGGTCCTTCCTGTTTATTTTTCCAGCAAACCAAGGCTCCTTAGAACTTGATAATCTGCTTCTGTCACTGTCCTTTTCTCAAAGCAGAAATCTCCACTCTCAGGCCTGCTTTTTGCATCTATTTCTTTCTCCCGGTTTATGTATCTTTTGGTATTGGGAGATGAGTTGCTTTTACTAAATTTTGTAAGAAAGATGCTCAGAATTGAGTCATAACATTCCAGAAGAAATTGGAGTTACATTAACTGTTTTTCTGTACACAGTTGCAGAGATCCTTGAAGCTGTAGCTCTGTCTGTGACAGAGGTTTCATGTGTTACCTTTCTCTCTCCGATGTGTCTTCCTTTTATTTTCAGGGGAGATGGAAAACGTTTTGCCCATTTTAGGCTTAAAGTGTTCTCAAATTTTGAATGAACTGGTACAGGTCTCTTCTTAAAATAACAACCACCGCCTTTGGATACGTAGGCTGTCCTGGAAATGCTGTAAATAGTTAAATACATGTAAAAAACCTACAGTAAATATAACTCCATGAATTCAGTAAACTCTAACAAAAAAAGCAAACCAAACCCTTAAACTGCTTCTGATGCACTGAAGGTCGGGATCTTTTGTTGCTGAAAAATGCTTCATGTGAATCTCGCTTATTTTGCCCTTTTTTTGATAAGTGGGCTCTGAAGTTTTTTGCTGTTAATTGTACAAGCGCTTTTTCTGTGCTCTCATGTTTAAAAAGGAAAAAAAAAAAATGGGAGGAAGAGACTTTTGGACTCTTCTGGACGTGCCTGTTCAAGGTTCATCCTTATTTGAAAAGGGAGGTTTGTATGAGTTGGGTTCCACGGTGATTAACAAAAATTCCTTTAGAAATCACCAGTAGATTCAGTAGTTTGTCTGCTGAGTTTAAAATTAAACATACATAATTTGTTATTGCTGAACTAAATTACTGTTGAATAGTTTTTCTCCACAAAGTATGTGACGTATACGGTGAAGCGCTAACAGATGAAACTATGCTTGGAAAACTGACAAATCCCAGTTGCCTAGGTTCAGGTTGAGTTGTACAAAATAAAAGGTATAGAGAAACAAGGTTCTTTCTGTTGTCTGTGCACGGGATATCGACATAGGGACTTGCGTTTTGCATAGTAACATTTTAAATTTTGCTAACTTGTTAACTCTTGCTGTTTCTCCCTTGATCCCCCAATATTCTGTGTGTTGTTGTTTGTTTTTTTTTTTTTGTTGTTTTTTGTAGAGACCTTCTGTACTAATAACTGACAGGCAACTGCATGGTTTGAATACACTGGATCGCTCCAGTACCTGAGGCTGATTACATTCATGATGAAGAGAGCTAGGCAGAAGGTTCTGGTAGAAAATGAAGCTGCTCAAGCATCACAGCAAAACAAGAAACAGAGGACTTGTTTCCGTGGATCACCATTTGGTGACTCCAACTTGCATGCCTCGGATTGGGGAAGCCTTCCGCACCATGTTATTCTCCGTATTTTTCAGTTTCTACCGTTAGTAGATCGAGCTAAGGCATCTTCTGTTTGTCGAAGGTGGAATGAAATTTTTCATGTCCCAGATCTCTGGAGGAAGTTTGAATTTGAACTTAACCAGCCAGCTACTTCTTACTTAAAGTCTACTCATCCTGATCTCATTCAGCAGATTATCAAGAGGCATGCTGATCATCTGCAGTACGTCAGCTTCAAGGTAAAGGCTTGAACGTATTTTCAAAAATGCAGCTGCTACGACTTATTTCCATGCGTGCACGTTGTTTCCTTCCAACTTCTACAATTTAATTCATACAAAGTAAAGAAAGAATTAACATTTGAAGACTACGTGACGTGTTTTCAGAATATATACTGTGGAGTTTATATATTGTGTATCCAACGTTAATGGCAGTTGAAGTAGTTGACAGATTAATCTGCTAAAATATTTCTTATGCATCAAAGAATTAAGGAAATAAATTTATTAAGTCATATGTCTATTATTTAATTGCAAAGTAGGAGTATACAGCGAAGAATATCCTGAAATTTCAGAAGCCTGTTGTGTAAAAGTTTGTGTAAAGAAGGAAGAGATTGTATTTATATTCAGTCACTTGACGTGTAAGGACATTGTGAAGTAACAGTAAATATTTTTTAAATGAAGGCTATGTTTGTAGGCAAAGGATTACATTAATTCAAACTTGCTTCATTTGAACACCTGATACAGTTCACTAACAGTTTATCTAACGAGACTACAGTTGGAATTGCAGTTGTTCTGTTAAGTTGTTGCAATCACTCCTCCTTAGAGGAGTTCATTATTCTAAGCTAGGTTCTCAGCACTGTCACTGAAACTCTTTGCATTTGGAGATCTTGTGATTTGGTTGCATAGTAGTACAAGGTGAATCACTTATTAAGAAGGTGAGATGGAATACTGATTTGTCCAAAGTTAGTCATCAGGCTTACAGATGAATTGGGAATCTTGAGCTCGTTATTGAAGATGCTAAGCTATTGTATTGTCCCTGAAGTAACGTGAATTAGCTTGCTCGATTGTATCTAGCCTTTACCTAGCCTTTAGTAAGTCCTTTTTTTCCCCCTGCTCTAAATGTCTAGAGTTACCATGCATGCACGTGCACCCACCCATAATATGTCATTATGCCAGTACTAGTTAAACCTGCTATTTAGAAAGAAACATGGGTGCGTGAATCTCTCCTATGAGGAAAGGCTTCTACAGGGCCTGTTCATCCTGTAGAAGAGAAGACTGAGGGGGGGGGGGGGGCTGGGGCCAGACTCTTCTCCGTGCTGCCCAGTGATAGGATGAGAGGCAACAGGCAGAAACTGAACCAGAGAAAGTTCCATCTGAACCTGAGGAAAAAACTCTTTCCTGTGAGGGTGACAGAGCACTGGCGCAGGTTGCTCGGAGAGGTAGTGGAGTCTCCTTCACTGGAGATATTCAAAACCCATCTGGATGCAATCCTGGGAAATATGCTCTGGGGGACCCTGCTTGAGCAGGGAGGTTGGACTAGATGATCTCTAGAGGTCCCTTCCAACCTCAGCCGTTCTGTGATTCTGTGAGATTCTTCAAAGAGAAGGTCTAGGTTTGAGCTGCCCATGTCAGAAGTACCTAGTAGTCATACTCTGGAATACTTTCTGATAATGTACTAGTTTAAAAAAGTACTTCTCCTTAACTTTTCTTGTCATGAAATTTCTAATTAATGTTGCTTTTTGTCCCGGTGGAAAGGGAAATCTGGTGTAGTACAGGCTGTGGACTTGCAGTCCTTGGTGTCCATGACACTGCTAAGTTTTCTAAATAGTAATACGGAATAAGTTCATGATTCTTAAATTGCTTTTATAGGTTGATAGTAGTACTGAGTCAGCAGAAGCAGCCTGTGACATTCTTTCTCAGTTGGTGAACTGTTCTATCAAGACACTGGGTTTGATTTCTACAGCTAAACCAAGCTTCATGAATGTCTCTAAGGTAATGTCCTACAAACTATATTTTTAAAAAGTAGATTTAGAAATGACTTTTAGCAAAAAATTTATTTACTCTTAAGACCACTTTAACCTTTATTACTGTTATCTAGCTCTTTCATAAACTTCTGCTCATGTAGGCAAGTATTTGATGTTGATTTTACAGACTCATAAGAACTGTTATTCAGTTGATACTGTTTTTTTAATGAAGCCATCTATATTTACTGGTCTGTCTTCTTAAATTTGTGGCATCTATTAATATGGGGAAATAGTTAAATTTAGGTTCTGTTCACTAAATTTACTAGTGCTGATAACTTTTCACAGCATAGAGATGTGAAACTGCTTAGAAGACTTGAACCTTCTAACTTCCAGATGAGAAGATACAGTGATCACAGATTCTAATGTACTGATGAAATAATTGGGATTTTTTCCCCCTTGGCTCTGTAGTTCACAGCAGAGTTGTTTTCTGGAAAATAAAAGAAATGTCATTGCCTTTTTTCCTACAGTTGGATCCCAGGTGCCACAGTTTTGTCCTTGTGTACACATACCAATTTTATTAAAGAGGGAAGCAAGTATGGATGAGTTAATTCTGAATGTAGAGTTTGTTTATTATAATAGTATTGTCAAGTGTAACAGCATAAGATTTTTTTTTTTCTCCTGCATTTTTTTCAAACAGGCTCATTTTACTTCAGCACTGACGGTAGTTTTTGTAAACTCCAAGTCATTATCATCAATCAAGATAGATGACACACCAGTTGATGATCCTTCCTTGAAGGTTCTTGTTGCTAACAATAGTGATACTCTAAAACTACTAAAAATGAGCAGTTGTCCTCATGTATCACCTGCAGGTGAGTAGTGAATATATAAGAAATGTAGTAGTAAAGGAGTAGAAAAAAATAGTCAGGATTTAGGTTTGAAATGAGTTATCCATATAACTTTCCAGGCTCTTCTGAGTCTTTTAGCCTAGGCCTTTTATTGACCTAATCTTGACTGTTTGTAAAGTTGGAAGGGGAAGAAGAAAAATGCCTGTGAGTGAGCTGGAGTAATCAAGGTGCAGGTGCTTCTCACTTGACTGCATCTTCCAGAGGTCCTGGTGATTCTTCGTACATTCTTCTCAGCTGTTCCTCCATCTCTGATAATAGGTTTTGAGGAGAAAAGGCCTCCAAAATTAGTGCATGCCATTTACATAGGTACCAAGGCCTTAATAGTCACTGCAAGTTTTGCCTAAAAGTAACAGTGTGAGCTGCTTAATGTGTGCATCTTTTGTAAACTTAATCCACTGGTATTTTTTGGGGAATACAAACACGAAATCAGTGGCCCGTAAACAGCTGCTGCTTGGTGGGATAAAGGAGGTGAAAATATTTGTCTTTAACTGGGAACATCTTACAAAAGAGTTAAATTTATTCAGCCAAACTGTCAATACTTTAAAGTTGTATTACAGAAATGTAGGAATGTACAAACTTTAAAATTCAGTAGAATAAGACCAAAGGGCTTTTTCGTTTCTGTAGTGCCCTCCTGTGTTCAGATATGGTAGTATAAACTTTTGTTTTAGCCCTAGTTGGTCAAGGGCTCGCTCCCTTCAAGGGTACTTGGAAGTGCAGACTTGCCTGACAGTTCAGAGGGCCTTTGGGTCCCTTCTGACTTAAATTTCTCCTGGAACTTTGGAGCTAGGGAAAGGGAACCCCAGTCTAATCTCTTTTCTGAACTTTTATCCAGAGTCCGCAAAAGGTGATGATGACAGCTGTGTATTTTGCGTTCGGGCAGTTTAAGAGCAGTTCTGTTATGTATGTCTTAGTTCAGAGATTTCAGTTTAGCACAGCTGTTAAGCTCTTCTGCTGGTGGTCATTTAAGTAGAATGCTTAGATGATTGCCGAAGGAAGAAACATTGGGGAAAGGACGTAGAAAATACCAGTTGGAACTTACCTGGTCTCAGTTGCTTCCTCAAAGCTGAGGAAACTCTGCATAGGGAAGGGCAAAGATTGCCACAAAGACAGCACAGATCCAAGATTAACGTGACTAGACCTGCTTCTCCACCTGCTGATGAGTGTTTGTGGCCAAAACACATAAAAGGATGTGGATATTTAGAACTCTGTTCTTCTTCACGTTCTTGGATATCAGCATGAATACAAAAGTCAGTCAACTTAGCACTTGCTCGAGTTTTACAATAAATAATTCTGTTTGGCTTTATTCACTTCCTATTTAGCAAAGTAATTGTTTGTATTTTTCAGGAATTCTTTGCGTCGCTGACCAGTGTCATGGACTTAAGGAGCTGGCTTTGAACTACTACATTTTAAGTGATGAACTGCTGCTGGCTCTTTCGAGTGAAAAACATGTTGATCTTGAACACCTGCGGATAGATGTTGTGAGTGAAAATCCTGGACAAGTTGAATTTCATACTATTAAAAAGCAAAGCTGGGATGCTTTTGTTAAACACTCCCCCAAAGTCAACATTGTGATGTATTTTTTCTTATATGAAGAAGAATTCGATGCTTTCTTCAGAGAGGAAACCCCTGTTACACACCTTTACTTTGGTCGTGCAGTAAGCAAAGCAATGTTAGGTCGTATTGGCCTGAATTGCCCAAGGTTGATTGAGCTGGTTGTGTGTGCTAATGGACTTCAGCCTTTGGATGACGAACTTATTCGGATTGCTGAGCGCTGCAAAAACTTAACAGCAATGGGTCTTGGTGAATGTGAAGTAACTTGTAGGGGTTTTATTGAATTTGTAAAGATGTGTGGAGGCAGGCTCACCCAGCTTTCTATAATGGAGGAGGTATTGATTCCAGATAACGATTATAACTTAGATCAACTTCATTCTGAAGTCTCCAAGCACCTTGGAAGAATGTGGTTTCCTGATATGATGCCAACATGGTGAACTGTCTACATCTGTGGATAAACTTGTAGAATCAGGGTGTTGCTCTCTATGCAAATAAGGAACTTGAAAATGAAATATGAAAACTATTTCCAGACTTCAGTTTCTCTTCCTTGAGAACCTCTAATGAGGCAACAGCAAATCATTCAAGAATGTTAATGTTACAGTGAAATAGAAATTAAGTGTACTTAACAGTAGACACTCTTTTTGAAGTATGTCCATGGTTTATAGGCACTCTTTAACTTCAGTTAAATTAGGCCTCTCTGATTTAGCTTCAGTTTAATTGTTCCATTCGAGTTAAACTTTTCTGTGTGTTTTTGCTTAGTCTTTCTGATGTAGTCAGCCCTTGAGCAAATCTTGCTTTAGGGGGAGCTGGATAAAACTTGGGAGTTTGGGATAACTGTATTGTTTGCCATGATATTTTATGCTGCAGGCTTTCAAAGTATTCTTGCTAAAGTATAAAGAGTAACCTGGACTAGTGTAAGTATTTTGATTTAGCTTAAACCCACTTCATGTCAGTACATCAAAGTGGTGTGGTAAATAATAAGTTTATGCCCGCCAAAAACTCTTCTGTTTTTAAATTGCACTTTAAGTCATTTTATAAGATTAGCTGAATTTTAGAGACAGTGTTATAGAGTATGTGGTTTTTCTATCTTATGCACTTAAGTGGTTGGGAAAGAGACCTTGTTAAAATTAATTTTAAAGTTTGAATCTAGGTGGATTACTTAGCTCAATGGCAAAGCACCCTAGAAACTGCCAGAATGGAAGGAATAGCTTTTGCATTTGAGAGAGTTGAGAGAGTCTGTTATGAAAACTTATGTCCGATTACTGTTCCATGCTTCTAGTATTAGGAGATTAAAAGGATTTCATAATAATGGCCAGTTCGAAGGAAGGATCGAAAGGAAAACAGTCGCCTTCAGTCGCTTCCTACCTGGAATCAAGGGTTTAGAGCGCTTTCGAAGCTTTTTTGCCATTTAGAGGCCTCAGTGATCTGTAGTAACTTTGCCTGAGTTTGCCACAGTTCTCACAGAACTGTGCTGTAAGCCCAGATTCATAGAGCGTGTGTTGCTGGTTCCTGAAACTTGTGGTTCAGGAAGGATTATACGACTGTTTAGTACTTGTTGCTCTTAGTTGTTTTTTTGAGATGGAAGATTGTATTTCTTGCTTGTGGGCAATGGAAAGGGAGGGGGAGTTGATGCAAACTAGAGTATGTATGTTTGTGATGACACTTTGCACACTGTAAACTAAAATGCATTGTATACAAATATTACTGTAATTTTACTGCTGTAGTTGATCTGTCTTCCCGTTTGTAATGAGATGTGTACATTTGATGAATAGTGATATGTCACATTAACTATAATGTCAGATAGGTTTTTTGTACAGTTAAATGTCTTTTCTACAAAAACAGCTGCTGTGTCTGCCATTATCGTGGACAGAATGGTTCTATGACTTGTTCACAACTATAAGCTAGAGGAATTTACCAAGATGATAATGCACGCCTGAATCAGTAAAGCGTTTTTGCCTGTTGCAAAACTATGGGGGAGGGGGATTGGGAGGCCAAAAAAAGGCAGCTGACTAGTTACTAGCACTTACTAGCCAAGCACTTGCTTCCATAATCAAGGGGGTTATAATTTACTTTTGAACACAAAACTGAATTATTTCCAGACAGTATTTGGTTTAAGATGCTCATGCTTTACTTTACTTGTAAACTTAATAAAGTGATCCATTGTCTACATTGATATTAGATAGCTGTCTGTTCCGCTGTGCATCACCCCTTTAGGGAGGGCTCTGTCCTATATTAGAAACCATGTACTTGACAGACCTGGGGAAGGACAGTAGGACTGGTTGACTCTTGGATTGTAGGGGTTTAATCATTGTCCTTCCACATTCATGTTGCAAACTCTAGGGTGTTTTGATGTGCTGAAGTTGAGAAAGAACTTGGACAAATCTTGTAGATGACGATGATAAGTTCTGGAGCCTCATGTCTCTCTAGCCTACCTGATACCATTAATGAAGCGCTAGAGGCTGCATGCAGAAATGTAGTACAGGAGACAACTTTAAATGCTTGCTTGAATATTGTCCTTTTCTCTGTCCCTCTCTTACTAAAGCAACTCTTCTGTGAAGCTACAAATGATAGCTTGCTCCAGTTCAAAGGTTTTGGCAGCACAGGCCTGCGTTTACTAATGTTGCCAATTTTGATTTAAAGATTTTTGTGTTTTAGCTCTGCTAACTGACCTCAGCAAGTAAGGTCATTTGATACTTCAGATTTATAACCAAACCCCAACAAAACCTGATTCCTTGGTCTCATTGTGAAATGCTAACCCTTCACTGGTAGCATGAGAAAAAAGCATCATGCTTTATTATGGAACCCTTAAATGGCACTTGTGGGCTGGATTTAGCCCAGCTGGAAATTCATACAGCTCTTGGGCTATTTTTAAATTTCATGGCGTGCCTCAGCACGTCTGTGTACTGAGTCCATATGAGTGGAGAACAGTATACCTAGCTCACCAAGTTACTCTGTTTCCAAGAAACCATTATGCTCTGCAGTAGTGTATATGATGGTAGGTTAGTCAACAAATTCTTGTCTTGTGGGTCGTGTGCCCTAGGAAGTGGCATAATGCTCTATTTTTCTTTATACTCCTGAAACTGCAGAGAAAAGCAAAAGCTTTGAGATCTCTGGGTAAGAATTAGTACTGAGGCATTACCCTTAACCTTTTCAGTGCAAGAATGAAGTAAGAGGGGGAGCAGCAGAGGGGAGAAAAGTGAATGCTATGTTAAACTTCAAGCAAATGCAGTGAGCACCGAAAAGGTGATAAAACATGATGGCAATAAATACTGTATTGCTACCATGGTCATACAGAGATAGAAATATCCTGCTTCAGGTAGTTCTGGGATGATTTGCATTGATATTTTAACTGTTGCCCTGGTATGTACAAGCAGATCATCACTATGAAGCTGAGAGTAGTAGCCTTCAAAATAGTATAAGACTTCAGTGAATGACTGCCATGTGGTGTATAGGCTTATCCTAAAGCATGCTACCAACTCTTGTGGCTACCAATAGAGTAAGACTGAGAGACCTGCCAAATTAATGTCAGATGCAGTTTCTGCTGCCTGTTACAGTCAAAATTCTCATGCAGTTTACTGTTGCTAAAAGTTGTTTCTGTTCTAATTGAAAGGTAACTTCTAGCAGTAAATTGATGTTGCGTATGGTAGTTTTAGTGATTTTAGTAGATTTGTTTTTAATATCATGTGTCGGTGTTATGGCATGCACATTATGCTTTAGGAATCAGTGTCAGAACGCTGGCCTGTATAAAGTAGCGTGAGTCCTGCTTTTCCTTCCTACGTAGGTGTTCCTGAATAACTGCAACGGAGGTGTTGGTGTTAGTTTGGCAAGAAACCTGTTGATAGCTGCCTGCTCCCTTCACTTTCCGATTATTTCTTGAGCAGCCTGTGCTCCAGAGCTCCGCCATATCCTAGCTAATACATTTTGTCTATTTGTTGGGCTTCTCCTGAGAAGGCTTTCCAAACTCTCATGCCTTCAGTGTGTAACACTAGGATGCAGTGTGGTGTCAAAGGAACTAAAATAATCTGAGGGAAGTACCGAATGGACACCTGATAGGCCAAAGAATTTGTAGAGTCACTCTAAAAAATACAAGTTATAGTGGGAAATTAACAGTAATGCAGCTCTGCTGCCACAAGGGCTAAGCTAATCTCTGGACTTGTTGACTTTTCTGATTCCCTATGAGGGCTTAAGTAGTTGTTGCTGATTTCCTAGTTAGGTTATCCTGTAAATGCAAATTCCAACAAAAACTCAAAGCTTTTCTTTTCCTTTTCTGGAGTCACTTTTGCCATCCTATAAAGTCATCAGTTGCGGTGGCATGACATCTTCAGTTAGCATCTCTTGTCTTTTTGGAGTATTTCAGTAAATTTCACTCTTGCTTCCTTCAGTGCTTTTTAGAACTAAGGTAACTTTCTTGTTTTCAGAAATGACCAAGATGTAATGAAAAGTTTGTAAATTAGCCTAAAATACAGCGTTAACAACAGCTATTGATACTATAAAAAGGGACCTAATTGGTACCTGGAACATATATCACTGTTAGGGCCTTGCAATATTATGTAAATCCCAAAGTACTGAATCAGTAGTAAACTGTTGTATTTTTTTTATTTATTCCGGATGAAACATTCCGTTTCCCTTCATTCATTAAGGTAGACTGTCTACGTGAGAAAAAAACCCAACTTCTGGATGCTGAGATGAATTTATTTTGAATTTACTACACTCCTGTTTTATCTTCCTTTTCCTTTCCCCCTTTCGAGATTGCTTGTAGGATCTGAGCGATCGCAGTTCTCGACATGAATATGAGATACGATACCAGGAAACACTCTTTGCATTGGCAGCATTCTCCCAAGGACTTGCCCCTTAGCAATGCTACCGCTGTATCGAATGGGATGGATGCAGAGCAGTTTTACGCAGAAACCTGGTAAAAACAAGAGGAGAAAAAAATCAAATGTCAGATAAAGGTTGGGGGGTGGGGAGGGAATAGCAGTAGTGGAAATATTAAAAATAGCCAAACAGTGTGTTCATCAAAAATAAAGATGGTGGTGAGAGTTGCTGAATTGATGGAGGAGGAAAAATAGGAAGGAAGTGGAGTGAGGATGAGGATTCTTGGCTTAGGAAAAAGAAGAGCGTGAAGACTTTCTACAGAACCAAGCAAAACTCCTCTAAAACAGCCTATCCTTTTAAAACTATTTTTGTTTTTTTACCTGCAGTTTGGGTCCCAACCTCAGTACTTGTAGAGATAAGAGTAAACAATAGGTCCTCAAATTGAGAGGTTGCCTAGTTATGTTTAAGAGTGGGTGCCCTACATTTGATTTCTAACAGAGAAGCAAAAAGTTTTCAATGCAAATGGATAGAAGGCTGTGGCTCAAAGCAGAAGCACTTTGCTTCACTGCTTAGTTAGGAGCAAGGGAACACATCCGATGTGAAGTTAAGGTAGCTGTTTTTCTATCTACCTGATCCCATGATTTGGACTCCATCATCAATGGCATTTCCATTATGAAAGAATTTAATGGGTCCGGAGAGCTGGCCAGAAAAGGGAGCGTACACTGTTGCTCCATCAGCGCAGATGACATCCACACCCACGTGCTTTCCTTTACCATTGCGCCTGAAAAAAATGTTAGTAATAAGACGGTGTTGACGTAGCACTGATTGAAGAATCTGTAAGTCGTGTTTTTTATTGCAGTGTAGATTATGTAATGCCATGTAGGGTTTATGATCTGTATCGTTAGGTTTGCAGTTCTGTAAGTTGAAAAACAATGTTTCTTACAAGCCTTTAAATAGAACTGTAGAGCAGCAGAAACGTTGATTGGAAGGTGTCTCTGGAGGTCACCTAGTCCAGCCTTCCACTTCAGTCAACTCTGTTTCCAACACTAGGTCAGATCAGCCATGGCTTTGTCTAGCTGAGCCATAAAAAAAGCTCCAAGACAGAGATTTCGTGGCTTTTATGGGCAGCCTGTTCTGGTGCTGCATTACCTTTGTAGTGAAAATGTTTCCTAGTTTTCAACCTCAGCCTTCAAAGTTGTATTTCAAAATGGGCTTAACCACAAAACTATTTCAATGGAGTAGCAACAAACTCACGCTAATTACAGTACCTTGGAGCGCCGTAGTATCCACAGCCGTATTTATCACAGCCTCTTATCTCATTTACAGGATTCCCAGAACATACTGCTGCCCACTTTTGATCTTGTTGTGGAAATGGTGGAATATCTTGGAAATACAGAAATGCAAGAAATCAAAATTAACTTCTGGGTTCTATTTGAGTGATGCATATTTGTGAATACTGTGTTTTCATTTTAGTTAAGTAGGAACATACTGGAATTACATAGCGCACGTAGTTGATGTCTCCTCCACAAATTTGCCACCCGTTTGTAAGTATAAGTAGAATGTACATCTAAGACTGGATTTAATTGCTTCATGGTGTAGAGCTATCTGATCTAAGGAACACCGTTTCAAGAGAGGAAATTCAAAGAAATTGTCATGTTTCCTAAAATGTAATCTCCTTAGGAAAAGACTCAGCTCTGCTTTTTTTTTTTATTTATTTTTTTATTTAGCCCAACCTAATAGCACTTCAGTCCTCAAATCCTATTCTACGTTACTACCAGAATCTTTATATTTGTAAAGGATCATCCTAAAAGCTGAAGATAGCATTGCTGTTGATCAAGGACTTGATATTACTTAGTGCTGAAACTGGAATATACGTTCAGGATCTGCAGAAGGTTGTGGGTCTTACTTTTCCATCAGATCGTGACCTATTCAGAGCAGAACTTTGCTCAAAAGCAGATTAATACTTCATCTGTAAATTGAGAGTAGTTTGCACGAGAGGAAGCTTCCAAGTGTATTTGTGTTGACTTTGAAGCCAGAGAATGTGGGGAGCTGGGGAGTCTGCTCCTTGCAAAAGTTGTATTGCTATGTAAATGAGTGATATTAAACTAGAGAAGGTCAGAACTTCCTCCTCTAAAATGTTCATTTCTCTAAACTGTGACCTGAATTAATATAGTGAATACTTATTGCTGATCTTCAGGTCACTGTGAACAGCAGTGTTTGGAATCAGGTATATTTCAGAAATTGAATCATCCTGTAATGTCTTCATACTGTATATCCATGTATTAAATGAAGGATGTATTCCTGTATCTGCTATTTCCTGTAGCCATACTGAAGGAAAGGTAACACTAGTCCTGTTTTGAAAATTTACCCCTGGGGTCTATGCGTTCAGTGAAGACAGCAATTCCTAATTCATAAGCTAGCTAGCTGCGGTGTTGAAAACAGTGCTAGTAGTTAAAAGAATACAAACAGAAGAGGTGTCTGGCTTAGTTTATTGCTGAGACTTGATACTGCTGCGTCACGGGGAAAGGAGATGACTGCAATTCATAAGCTGATATATGTGGCTCCTGTCTTTAATACTGTTTGCAGTCCTATTATGCCGTAAGTATAAAGTACATTTTTTTTTCTCTTGGGCATTGATGTTAGAGCCTAAAACAGAAGAGAATCTTGCTGTTGAATATTGATGTTCTTATTTGCAATTAAATAGACTTTTATGCATTGTACAACTTATTCTGTTTTCTTACCAGGTTTAAGTAGATCAGTAGGATCAGAGCGGTCACAGTTCTCAACGTGAATGTGAGAGATAATGCCAGGAAATACTCTCTGCATTGGCAGCATTCTTCCGAGTTCTTGCCCTCTCTGGATGGTGCCATGGTATCTGATGGGGTGAATACAGACGAGTTTTACGCAGTAACCTGTAAGAGATGGGAGAGGAAGTGAAGTCAGGAAACATCAGCTACATTTGTTCTTGTGGGGTGCAAGAGATCTTCCACGTTGGCCTCTTACTGGAGATTGCAATGATGAAGCAGAAATACTGTGAAGATACCAAGAATTCTGAAACTAAAATTCCCTGGGTTGCTTATAGAAAAAGGGAAAAGAGAAAAAGAGGGAGTTGGAAAATGGGACAGTAAGCATCCTCTCAGCAAAATTGAGGGCGTATTACTGATACTTTTATTTTTACGGTTTCCTTTTTTGATTTTTGGGGGTTACTGTTTTTCTTTGCTACCTGTTTTCAGCTCTTTTCTTCCCTCCCCTCCAAGAAAAGCAAAGGAAAAGGACTGTGTTTCCTGCTTTCACCTCTTTTCAGCAAAGGAAAAGGACTGTGTTTCCTGCTGGTGATGACTTGTAATGTTTGTGAGCAGGATTATAGTTGTATTTAAATATAGCAGCTAGAGAGGCAGGAGAGTAAATGATAGTTTGCTCGACCTGAAGAGCTACAGAAATATCTTACTCGAGTAACTGAAGTGACTACTTGTGGGCACTTAAAAACACATCTGCTGTTATTACTTGCCTGATCCCGTGATTTGGACTCCATCATCAATGGCATTTCCATTATGAAAGAATTTAATGGGTCCGGAGAGCTGGCCAGAAAAGGGAGCGTACACTGTTGCTCCATCAGCGCAGATGACATCCACACCCACGTGCTTTCCTTTACCACCGTGTCTGAAAACAAAAATAGGTGATTAGTGAAGTCTCTGTCAGGCCTAACATTACATATAGATGAGTTAGTGTAGTGCAAGATCTGAAGCTTGTATAGCAATTTAAACTTTTACATCTGCAGGGAAACTGGAAAAAATAGTGGCTTCAATCCGTCTTTTAATTATTGAAATTTGTTTGTATTAATCTGACCTAATTTAAAGGAGGATGAGATTTTTTTTTTTTTAACCTTTCCCATATTCATGGAATGTTTCAAGGTATTACATAAAAGTACCTCTGCTCTACAGTCAAATATATCTGTGCCAGTGTAAAATAGAATTTTATGTTTGGATTTTTTTTTTCATTTAGAAATTCGTAAGTTGCATAATGAAGGTGGGCACTTTTTAAGGGGCTTGAAGGGAGGAGAAGACAGGGAATGCAAGGGAGGCAGAAGTCATTCTACATATACAAGTATTTTTTCAGGGAAATATAACCTGCTCTGTTATGAGGTGCCTACTTAAAGACAATGATGCTGGCAAATCTTTAGCTTGTGTGAATGAATCCACTTAGCTTCGGGTAAGCTCTGTGAGTGTATGTTAAGAATCTAGTCTATGAGCAGTAGGAATAAATGACACCAGTTCTTGGAATACTTTCCATTTCTTGACTACTTAGTGCTTTTCTGATTCTGATCTAAAGCAGTAGCGGTGACATCAAAAATCTGGCTGCTAATTCATGTAGTAGTCTGGCTTCTTCACCTGTGCATCGGCCAGCAGAAGTGACGTTAATGCATTTCAGTGAGATTTCTGAGTAAGGTCTCCAAAATGCCTAAGGACAGGTCCTACAGACAGCAGTATTCTGTCATTCTTAGCAGAGTAGGTAAAATAATAATTATTAGAAAGATATCACCAGTGTTTTTGTGTATTGGTCTTAGATCCTGGTGAAAGAAGACAAAATAGCAGCAAGCCTTTGGTTTTTAAAGGGTGGTTGAACTCTACAAAGTTTCTCTGGTGTGAAGGTTTGATTTAGAAAATTAGCAACAAACTTTTCTCCAGAATCCCAGTGCCCCACTGTTTTACCTGTGAGCGCCATAGCCACCACAGCCGTATTTATCACAGCCTCGGATTTTGTTGGTAGGATTCCCACGGCATATCTGTGCCCAGTGTCTGTGCTGTTGGGGTGGGTGTGCATCCCACTGCTTGGCAAAAACTTTATGTGCAAAAGAGGAAAATAGGGAAAATTGAACCACATTCTTAGTCCTGTACAATAGAAGCTGTTAAGCTGCAAAGTACAGAGTGTGTATAAAGACAAATGTCATGACCCCTCCATTGCATGTCACCTCTACTGCTCTGTCTCCCTGCCATGGAATACAGCTTTCTCTTTAATTGCATGTTTAGATGGCTGTGGGATTTTTATCCTTATATCCCCGAATTCCATGACTGGAATCTAGTACCCCTTATTCCTCCAACATGGATCATTCATTGGAACACACTTTGCATCGAGCCCTGTGTCAAGCTGTCCCACTTAATATTTTTTTTTCAACATAGATAAAATCACATTAGGTAGAGCTGCTCTCTAAGCAACAAGAATGGGTGTGTTCAGAGTTTTCCAATGCTAGGTATATGGGGAAAAGATACAGATACAGCAACCTCTTATTTTGGACATGCGTGGGAAATAAGATGACCAGTTGGCAAAATGATAAACAGCAATAAAGTGGTAGTTAGATTTATATAAACAAGTGAAAGTATTTCTTTGAACTCCACCGAAGATCTCCTTTATTTGTATTTGTTAATGCTGTCAGTCTGAATCTAATATTTAGGAGACGTGGCTTTACTGTAGTAATATTCTTACCCACGCAACACAGTACTGTTTTCCTAACCATTTGTACTGGGGCCGATTTCTGTTCTTTGTAAAGAATGGTTCATGGGTTCTTAGAACTGCATGAATTAATATATATATAAGAACACTGTAGAACCTGTTACATAGATCTGATCTCTCTTCTGAAAGCCTTTAGTTTTAGGGTACATTCTCTAGAAACAAAGCAAAGCTCTAAATGTATATTTTAATCTTAGTTTGTGAAATAAGTCAAACTACTTTCCCTTGCTATGCTTTTCATGAAATCTCTCCAAATGCTTCAATTTGATGTGGCACTAACTCCAAAGGCACGCTCGTCTTTATGTTTTTTAATAGTCATAATAGTGCACGTTACAATAATTCTTCATAAAACTAGATTGAAAAACATAGCTTTAGCACTACATATATTGGAGTGAATTTCACTGATTTGCTAGTGTGCCTGGAAAAAGTCAAGACAAATACAAAATAGTAATATCAACTCACCAGTGGACACCAAGCTGACCAAAGCGATCAGGCTGAGAGCTGACATTCTGTAGCCGTCCCACCAGTGTTCCTTGATCAAATCAAAGACATCGTGTGGTAGCTCTCTTTGGTATTTATGTGCTTTAGAAAGTGCAAGTCTGTTGTTTTGGCCAATCAGTCTTAAGCAAAGTATTACAACTCTGAGTAGACAATATTGCCATATTAGGCTGTAAAGACGTCAACAAACTTAACTGTTGTTAGAGCTGGTTGGGAAAGATGAAATGGTTGGTCTCTTAACACACAATAACAGGTGGAAACGGAGCAATGCCACGTTTCAGGAAGCTCCAGTTGAACTGTTTCTCAACTTTTCTTCCTCCCCCTGAAGTAAGGGCATGCTTAGGCCAAAAATGGTAGGGACGAAGAATATGGTCCAGAGACTTCAGTTGGAGGGAATCGTTGGGCGAAACTCCACATATTGTCTTGTCACTCACATGCATAACCAGTTTGTCCTGCATCACTCATTCCAGTACCTCCTCCTCAGGCGTAGACGCTCATTAGCTTTCTAACAGAATGACAGCGAACACAAGAAGATGTGGTGTTTGGTTTACTATGAATATGGACTTAGTTTAAGAAAATCGGATGCTTTCGCAAGGAAGTACTTTTCTTTTTCCTTCTCCTGTTCAGCTGAAATTATCTAGTCTGAACTTAAATTCACCAATTCTTTTGACTGAAACCCTAGTTTTTGAGGACAAAATGTTTATCAAAACTTATCTTGCAGTTCTGAAGTAGGCAGTTGGAAACTGAAGTTGCATTGCATAGCTGTGGCATGGAGCTGAACTTCTAATGTTATATGACTGGCCACCTTCAGTGTTCTCAAAAGTTGAAAGAACAGTCTCCTCTCTAATCCAGTGTCCCAATCGACTGAATGATTGTACATTTTAAGCATTGATATAAAGTAGAAAAATTCAGCTAGGAAGAACGGATAGAGCTAAACCTCAGGATGCATCGCAGCCTGGTGATTGGAATGTTCTCCTGAAATGTGGGAGACCCTTGCTAACATCCACTCTCCCACTGGTTTTCAACCTCCTCTTAGGGTTTATAATGTTTCCTTTAGTGTCTGCATTATTTATAATAATGGTAGTAATATTCTTATTTAGTAATCTGTTATTAAGTAGGCGGTTTCATCTTTCTTTCAATTATTCCTTCTAGTTTTTCTGAGGCAATTTAGAAAAGTATTAATTTTCTTTCTGGGCAAGTCTTAGTTAAGGAAAAAGTGAAATGAGTCATGGAACTTTCACATAAGCTGTTCTATATTCCCAGTTTCAGCAACCTCTGGAAGTCCTGCAGGTTTTTTTTTTTCAAAGGAGAAACAGATGTCTCTCTGCAGCACTTCTAGTTTGCAAAGAATGTCTCTGCAATCTGTTTTCTTGAAAACTCCACAGAACAGGCAGCAGGAGACAAGTTCTTTGCTCAGGGTTCCAAGCTTTTTTGCAGCCAATATTTAACCCCAAACCAATCTTTTAGTCCTCCCTGGGGTTGTCAGTGGCCTTAGTGATTTTATCCCTGCTTGGTTTTCTCCCATCCTGCCAGAAGGAACTGCTGTTTTTCACTCATACCCACCAAATATTCATTTAAAATGTTAGGTTCCCTCTGTCTGGTTTTGATGGGACTTTCTATTCTAATCTGCTTAGTGTAATGGAGTCCAGATATACAAATAACACAAGGTGCTGGCAAGAGCTCTCAGTGGGTATTCAGGATCTGGGGACACTGCTTACCCCTGAACTTAAAGATGGGTGGCTTATGTGGCGGAGCCACCCTTAACGGAAACAGTCGTAGCTGCCGCAAGTTGAGGGGCTGCTGGAGGTGCTGCGAAGAGTGTACGTACTGTTATTTCCAGCTTTCCAGGCTTACTAGCTTAAATTTCTGAAGACGTTTAAACTGCACAGATGCCGATGTGCATCCAGAGTGAAATGATTTGAGACTTAAAAGCCTGCTCCAGACCACTATTTCTCCATGACCCACGTCCCTCACCTCTTACTAGAGCTTAGCACAATTTGAGTGAAACTCTCTGAATCTGTTGGATCTTAGTCTGTGCGTATTGATTGAATTTCCAAGGAGCATTGTGAGCTTCCAGAATTCTTTAAAGTTTCTGCTATGACTGCCTTTCAGTGCAAAAAAAATATTATGTGCAGTGGTAAACTTCCACAGCTCTTGTGCTGTCTGTCACCTATTTTCAGTCCTCCCTCATCTCTTTGTGGGTGAAAGCTCCAAACCCTGCTTCAGAAGGTGGTGCAATGCCCGTTGGGAACTCAGCGGCAGCAACAGAAGCACTCCCCAGATCTTAACTCTGTTCAGCAAGGGAGGGAGGCAGGCCGTGTGTGGGGCATCTCTCGATCAAGTGAGGTGAATTCACCTTGTCTGAGAGGGATGGTGCAGTTACAAAAGATAAAAAGCAACCCAAGCAACAACTGTAACGGGAGACTGGCTAATCATTTAAGAGCGCAGATGACAGGGGAATGTAATCTATCCACACCCCGGTTTGACTGCTATGTGCATGTTATGTGACTGTGCCCACATCCTCTGTAACCAGAGTGGGGCTGCTTCAGAATTTCATAGGATATAGGTGTCAAAGTACTGTTGAGCTCAGCTAGCTACATATTGCACTTTTTTTTCCTACTCTTTGAAAGAAGAGAATTTTTGACTACTGCCTGGTCTTTCTCAGCTATGGGGCCTTCAAACACGGTTTCTGCAATAATGGTCTCTATCTGCCAGCTTTTTAATCCTGCTTTTACTCCAGATTGCCAGTTTGCAGTAGTAGTGTTTTAAATATCTCACTGCGTAAATTTTACCCAAGGCGGACCTACCTTAAAACGTGTTTTCATCGCCTTTTCTAAAGTCATGAGGTCCTAGTGTTACCAAGAAAGGAACTGCAGCACCTCAATCCTCTCGGCTAAGTCTTTTGAGACAGAAAAGTTGTGTATAAAATAAGCTAGACGCACCGACAGGTGAGAGAACAGAAGTACAACTGTGTTGTAGATGCAGAGAAATTGGAAGAAGCTTTTCCTTGACTACTGTTTTGCAATTTGGTATTTTGTAAAACAGCTCATAGCTACCCGTTCTTTGTAATTTTTTTTCCCCCCTTCATTTCTGTTGTAGAGCTTACTCCAGGTTGCTAGTAGCTATGCATGCGTGCTTTTTATATTTCCTTCCTAAGAGATTTTAGTAGTATTGTGTCTTGCTCAATTCTTTCTTAAATGAATATGTCAAAATGTCATTTGGTATAATAACAGCTAACACACTTGTGGTAAAGTATCTGTCTTTAAAAAATAGGTTTCAAAGGCATGCTATTGTAGTTTAGATTTAGCAGTGGATTCCCTGTCTTTACTGTGTCGTCTGGCAGGTGTAGGCCTGTCAACCAGGGCAGTTGGGGCTGAGGAAGCGATGCAACTCCGTTGGTGGCACTCCTGTGTTGGGCAACAAAGATGTTAATACAACAGTTGGTAGGTGCAGTTGTGAAATAAACTAATGGGCCGCTTAGCACGAAATAACAGAAGGATATGGGACAATCCTCCTCCAGGTTACACGGCCCGTAGGAGCGACGGTTGTGCCACTTCCTTTCCTGCGGTCAGGAGGACCGGGCAGAGAACGGAGCGAAGTCCGTGCCCGGTACTGCAAGGATCCACACGAGGAACAGACGCACCAACTGAGTGCGCTGGGACTGCTTTCTCTTGCGTAAGAGGTGCCTACCCTGTTTTGCTGCTTGACTGTCAGTAATAACTTCTTGGCTATATAAGCCCCTTACGGGTCTCCTGTCGGGCTAAGCAAGAACGCTCTGTAGCTCTTATATTAAGAGCCCTGAGGCTTTGATGGAAAAGGGACGGAGTTCAGATATCAGAACCGTACTTCAGACTCTTTAATGACTCGGTGGACCTACTTTACGTAATAGCAGGGTCTAAACAGGAAGTGTTCTGTGTTTTACTTGGGAAAACAGTAGAACGATAATGTTGTTTTGAAGAGAGAGAAGCTTCGTTCTGATACAGTTTTCCCATTTCAGGCAAGTTTAACAGAGGAGCTGGAAGTACTCCTTTGTTTCCAAACTGAATGTCGCGATTTTAATGAGTTTTTTTCTTCCTCACCACCTTTTTTCCTTTTGGCCCTAACAGGTAGGTTCAGTTCCTTCCTCTGAACCAGAGTTGCCAGAGTAGCTTAAACTAGCTTAGACTTGACTGGGTTACTAATCAACCTTTTCTGTTCATGCAAAGTCAAATTTTAGAAATACCTCTGCTTAGAGCAGCTGTTTTATAATCAATACCATTTTAAAATTATTTCTAAGATGGTTAGGGTACACTAGAGGGAGATTAAAAAAAAGCTGTGTTTTCAATACCTGCTCCAGTTAATACTGTGATGTGCTATATATCAAATTTTTAAATAAGTGAGAGAACAGTCTGGCAAAACTTACTTTTCTGTGGAAGGCTTAAGAGACATTTGGGAGTCAGTCAGAGAGGGGAAGAACAAATCTGGGCCTTCTACTAGATGTTTGTGTCTGAGTATTACCTCTGGTTTTGTAAATATAGCTGGTACATCTTCCGTCTCCCAGAACTGCTTGTCTCAAAGCTATTCACAGATCTTTTTTTGTACTGAAACTGATTTTTCGGTAAGTGAACTATTTGACTAGAAAATAAAAACAAGAAAGATTTATTGAGCCCTAACTGCTTGTAATAGTGCTAAAAATATGAAGCATGTAGTTGAAGACATGAGGAGCTGGCACAATCCTCGGGGTGGGAGAGAACAGCAGGTCCCGCCTATTGGAAGAGCAAGAACCAAGTGCTTTTCCTACCTTGTCATCAGCAATGGGAATTGGCCAGTGGCTTTGGTAAAGATATTTCACGCGTCGGTCACCTACTGTTTGCTGCTCTGATAACTCAAAATATGTTTTGCTCGTACCCGAGTTGGGAAGCATTAACGTGTTTCTGCTTCTGCTTTGTGTAGCGAGGAGGTTAAAAAAAAAAAAATTCACTGCCTTCATTTGCCATCGCCTGAGGGACAGGCTTGAGTTAGTCGCTAAGGGGAAGCCCCAAGGTCTGTGCCTTTGAATATGTATAAAGAAGAAGCACAAACAGATTGCTCATCTCTCGCAGACAGGACGAGCAGATGGTAAGCTAGGCATGTCAAGTGGGAATTTTCTTGGTAAAACGGTCTGTAATATGTCCATCTTAAATACAGAAAAAAGAAAAGAAATTGGAAGATAAAATGTTGTGATAAACTTTTTGGAGGAAAAAAATCCTAGCCGGAAAAGTACAAGAAGCACCTGGGAAATGGTAGTGGACGTGGTGGGTGGAAGCATTAATTCATAACTAATTCCAGGATTAAAGGCAGGCCCAAACTCTGCGCACGAGAGCTTGCACGTCTTATTGCTTGGTAACGTTACAGTACCAGAACTGTAAGCTTGCTAGGCTTGTTACTAGGTGATTGGTGAAGGTAAATCTTCCTATCTCTAGATGTATTTTACAGAACACTTAACTTTGCTCGTCTTGGCTAGCCCAGCGTGTTTAGCGTGATGCTCTAAATCAGTTTGGAGCATTTACTTTCCAGGTGATCTGTGTGCATTACATTATTAAAGAACCTTAAAAGCCGTTTGTCTGGAAAATGAATAATAGACTTAGTGTTAATCATTAAAAATCAAATTATGCTTTAGAAATTAACTGTAGAAGAATTTACTTGCGCAATTAGCAGCGTGTGGTTTTCATAGTGAAAATCAAGCTGGCACAATGTAAAACAAATTGCACGCGGTATTTAATCAGGCTTATCATTGCTTGAGAAGGCTGAGATGAGAAGAATTTTGTCACAAAGAGAAGAGAAGCTTTGGCTAGCGGGCTCAGGTTGCAGTATCACCAAAAAAGCAGCAGGTTGCGCTAGTTGATCAGCCAAAAGACATGTTTGGTTACATCATTTTAAATATATAAGTTGCTGTAGAACACCTACATGCATGGCCTTTATCTTCAGCTTATGCTTACCTATGGAAGAAAGTCGTGCTCTTGTACACAACTCTAATTTAAAACTCCACCTGGAATTTCTTTTGCCTTTATTGATATAATTGCTGGGCCTGAGCTATGCAGGTTTTTTGGGAGGATGGAGGAACATAAAAAGAAACTTTCTGCTACCTGTGTCCTGTCTTCTGAGGAAACAGATTGCTGGTTGAATCCTCCAAAAGCCCTTTAATAGAAGGGTATGGTGCAGATTTGGATTATAGATGGAGCAGTTTGGACTTTGCAGGTCAGGACAAGGCTTGTATCTCTGGCTTGAGGTATAAACGTGGCAACGAGAAGGATCTAAACACTGGAACGGGTTACGCAGAGAGGCTGCGGAGTCTCCTCCGCTGGAGATACTCAAAACCCACCTGGACGCAGTCCTGTGCAGTGTGCTCTAGAAGACCCTGCTTGAGCAGGGGGGTTGCACTAGATGGTCTCCAGAGGTCCCTTCCAACCTTGGCCGTTCTGTGATTCTGTGATCCCAGCACCAGGGTGAACTGATGCAGAAACAAAGCAGTTCAGGATGGTCTGAGTGTACCGACTCTTTCCTAAAAAGCCGGGTGGCCCCCATTACCTCCCTGCAGCATCCCTTCCCATCCCTTTGAGTATTTTGGGAAAGGCATCTCTTACCACTCCTAGAAATTGTACTTTCCCTCCCTCCTCAGCCGCTGTTATTGGTAAACTGAAAAAATACAGCTAGATTTACTTATATCGTTGGCCACAAGCGTACCTTGAAGTATGAAGTGGCATTTACGTTTTCCTCCTCACTGCAGGAGCCACTGCCCCAGCGTGTCTTTCACTGGAAGTTTTGACTTTTGCCTCATCCTTCTCTTAGGCGCCCAAGCTTTATAATTTCACAAACTGGGAAGTTGCAGCAAAACGGCGGCTCGGCGTCGCGCGAGGGGGAAGCGGCAGCGAGGGCGGGAGGGGAGCGGGAGGTCCAGCCCGCCCCAGCCTCCGGACTCCCGTGGGCAAACCGGAAAGCTTGTCCAGAGGCTTCACGTCCCGCTTCTGCAGGGACAGAGCGGAAAACTGCTCAGCTCTTGTCGTTCATGCGCAGGTGAAAATTTTGTCGTATAAGCTGATTGGAAAGGAGCAGAGGCAGCGCGCGTGCTGAGAGCTGCGTCTCAACAAGCCTCGCGAGCGCCCGGGAGCAGGAAGTGCACTCAGGTCTCTCTGAATTGCAGCAGAGCAGGGTCTCCTATCAGGGAAAAGACGCGCTGGGATGTCTCAGGTGCTATTTTGTACCCGTATCCCTCCCCCGTCCCCGAGGATACCTGTGTCCTGCGCATTAGAAAGCGGGTGGTGGGATCATCTGTGCTCATTAAAGCGTTCCTGCTGCATGTGGCAGCGGCGGGGGACAAGCGTGACAGGGAGGAGCTTACCTGGTGTTAGTCTCTGCCCCTAAAAACCAGTGTTAGATCATGTTCTGACTCCCGTATGGTGACTAAAATCAAGCATAAACGTTAGTGACAAAGAGCAGCCTGGGTGCAGCAGAGGAATCCTCAAGCAGGAGTTTGGAGAAAAAGCAGGGAATTACTTCATGAATGTTTTACATTTTTTTGAGACAGGCTCCAGGAAAGACTTGGGTTTTGGCTTTATACAGGTTTTTTTTCCAAACTGTGTTTAAAAAAAAAAAAAACAAAAAACAAAACGCAAGGCAAACTTTGTGACAGCACCAAAGCAACGTGAACCAATTCGGAGTGAAACAGTCCTTTAATAACATCACTGCCCACACATAAGCAAAGTGAAGGTTTTTTGGGCTTACTGAGGAAATCTTGGTACATGGCTGCAAAGAGAGCAGAGAAGCGCTAGACTGTGTGTTACAGCACGGGTTACTGCATTGCTGGTGGGCTTCGGGAGCGCCTCCTTCTGCTGAGCACACGCTCTTCCCTTCACGGTTGCTTCAGCGTTCCTTTGGCTACTACCGCAGCGGGCTGCAGGATGCTGCAACAGCTTTAACGCATGTGTTGCATCTCGCTCTGAGCCCCTTTGTGTTCAGCTAACCACCAGCATTTTGTTCAAGGGTACGTTGCTTTCTTTTCAGAGAGCAGAGCCCCCGTTCAAGGTTAAGTGGCTTCCACTTTACTCAAGCGGCTATCTACGTGCAGGCAGTTTAATGAATATGCAAGCGATGGGCTAAAAGCCTCATAACTGGTGCACGGTCTTCCCTTTACAAGTTAGGAGTCGGGTCGGTTAGGTCGCAGTTCTGGATGTGGACGTGGGAGGTGATGCCTTGGTACACTTTTTGCATGGGCAGCAGGACACCGATTTTCTCGCCCTTCCTGATGGGGCCGCTGTGCTTGACCGGTTTGATGTAGAACATCTTAACGCAGAATCCTATTCAGAGGGGACAGAAAAGGGGGGGAAACCGCTGCTCCCATGAAATGGTTCAGAAACCTGACAAAGTCATAAAATTCAGTAGCAAAATGTAAATGACGGGACAGTAAGGTCGTTTGAGCTACAGCAACAGGAAAAGTTGCAGAAAATGTGATGCTACAATAGCATCAAGAAGAGATATTAGGAAAAGGAATGATCTAACAGGGAGAAGAGTGAGGAAGGGGGATCGATGTGAGTAAAACTGCATGAGCAAGGAAAAGGCACACTACTGTTCCTTCAAGTATCCAAAATGTGCAAATTCACCAGCCTTACCCCCTTTGATATTTTTAATGGGGCTGAAATGCTGTAATCTGTAGTTGCCACCTTCATCCCTTGTTCCCCTAGTGTTTGAAAGGATGATTAACCACAGCTGGTTCACGCACAGATCCATATTCCTCACCATCAGTGGCGCATAGAGCACAGCCCGGTTACGTGCGCAAGAGGCTGCAGCCACGTTTGGGTATTAGCTGTAAACGCTATTGTGGAAGGTTGTTTTTAATAGGGCCTCTGATTGCTGTCAAAATTACAGGATAATCCAACGGGATGTAGCTCGTTTGCTCTTGCTATGACTCAGGCATCCTGCTATGTTTCATAACATTAAGTAGCTCAAAGCATCCTATTGGCCTCTGGTGCTGGTTGGATTTAACAGGACTCCTAGGAACCGGCTCCCCAAGGCCTTCTGTTGGATCTCTGCTTTCTGGAAGCATTTGCTGGCTATTGTCGCTCAATCTAGTGAGTGCTCTTTTCCAGTATAAACAGAGCCTAGATTTCTAGATTATCCTTTCTCTTGGATTCCTATGCTACAAAACTGCAGTTCTGGCCAAGTTCACGATTTTGGGCTCATTTTAAAGTCCTACAATTGAACTGGAGTGCTCTGCAATCAGGGTTTGTAAAGGCAGGGTCCTTTAGCTTTGGTACCTGATCCAGAAAGCTGAACTCCATCATCGATGGCATTGCCATTGCCGTACGGTCTGGCTTGTCTGTCGATCTGCCCCGTGAACGGTGCGTAGACTGTGGACCCATCCTTGCACACCACATCCACCCCTCTGTGTTGCCCCTTGCCTCTGGAAAAGAAGAGCAAAGCATCCACATGTCCGTACGCAGCAGATTTGCACCTGGCCTTCTAGCTGGGAACCTAAAAGGAGCGCAAGTGCTCCGGGGCAAAGCTGCGTTGCCTGGTGGGAGCCCGCATCTGCCCAGCGACGGCTTGGCAGATGGAGTCGTCTTTGGGTCTTCAATAGAAGACTGCAAATACAGTAGTGTGGTCTAAGGAAATGAGAGGAAGGTAAGATACTGTTTTCCAGTGGCTAATATTGCTAGATAAAAAGGGCAAGCTCCATGGACACGGTTCCAAAGTTGAAATCCCTTTGTGTCTGGGGGAGCCCAGTGGAAGCTTTTCCAGAGGATTTTAGTCTCTGAGAGCACCAAGTCTTCCACCCCCCACCGTGTTCCTCCACCCCCTTTTTTTTTAAGGGTTTGTTTTGGTTTTAGGAATTTCTCCACTGCAACACCGCCTCCCATCTTCCCAGCTGAGGACCTGGGGTCGTTGTATCTACCGCAGCCCTTGGAGTCGCAGCCTCTGATTTTGTTTGCAGGTTGACCTGAGCAGATATTTGCCCATTGTGCTGCAGCAGCTGGAAAAAAAGGAAAGAGAAGAGCAAAATATGAAACCTCCAGGCTAATAAGGGGATTTCCCAGGTCCCGTTATTTCACAGCTGCTTCTGCTAAGTTCCATACAGAGCTAAATGAAAACTTGAAGGCCTGATTGAAGGTCTGTTAAAATTGATAGTAAGTCTCCTCTGGACTTTGCTGCAACCATAGATCAGGCTTCAGGGCGCTAGATGGTAAGTTAATTTTAGGAATGCAATAAGATAGATCTTTTTTTGTTTTACGTTTTGTCCAGTGACATCTGAGGGCACTTAAAGCAGTGACGTTAAAGCAAAAATGCAGAAGAAATGATAGAGAATAGGTCTGGAGGGGATTTTGCCCCCAAGATGGGCACGTACCACAGACGTGGGACTGGAGCAACGGGAGGCCCTGGCCTGCAGGTGAACCGATTCACCCCTGGATCTTGTGACACTGAACCTTAACTGTGAAAAGATTGGGCTGAGAGAGACCCAGCAAGCCCATTCCTATTCCCTAATGTGAGATCCAGTCCCAAACAAAGGCTGTCATCTAGCTTTTACTAATTACGTTTTCTACCTCCCAATGCTTCTATATTATTGGTTGACAGCAGAGTTGCAGCCAGAATGGTACATCTTCATATTTCTTATTGCAGTCTCCAGCTGTCATCCCCCACAGTCAAAATCCTGCTGCTCCTATGGCTCCAGCGTTGTCCTGAGAGAAGAAGGCGTTTAAAGGGGACGACGGGGGAAAGGCAACGCCTGGCTCAGGACCTTCAGCAAGCTCCTACCAGCCCTGCTCGCCCCACCAACGTGACGGGGGGTTTGCACGTGGTGCTGCTGGTCGCCATGGTCCCGAAGGGCTGAGAACAGGGCTGGTGCAGCGAGAAGCAGCAAGCTGAAGGTCGTCCCCCTGCGTGAGCAATGCTGCCACGCGATCCCTATCGGTCTCTGGGAGTCTACGCAAATGGAGGAAATTATATGTTTGCATTAGAAAGACGGGTGTTAAAAGGATACAGGAAACCCCTAATGCCTTCCTCGAGCAAAGCAGTCCTTTGCTCTAGGTATTCTTCATTTATTTTAATGAATTATGTATTCTTTGTGAAAGCAAAGGTGATAACATTAAATACAGAAACATCTATGGGAACACTTTATGCTCAGCAGGCTGATCTTTAAGTAAAAGACTTCTAAGAAAAAATACATGCTGTTAATAATTGATATGCTTTAACCTACCCTTTCTTATTCAATCACCGTAGATTATTACTCCTCAAAAAATTTCACTACAACTCCTTACCGCAACTAAAAAGGGTTTCCCATGCAGGTTTCTATGCAATGTGAGGGGAGTTATTTTTGAAAGCCGAAAATGACAGTCAAGAACAAATCCATTCCTATATCCTTACAGATTCAGCAAAAAAAAAAAAAAAGGCAGTTTACAAGGAGCAATGTTTACAAAAAATCTGCTAACTTACCACTGCAGATTGCAATCGCAAAAATGACTGCTGTGACTCGATGCATTTTCATGTGCCTTGGGAGCTCTGTTTTCACACTGAAAGGTCTAAAATACTTTGCTTTCTATTTATACATCCCAACAGAGGCTGTAGCCAATTTTTCCAGCCAATCAGAAAATTTACGTGGCAGTAGTTCTTTTGCTTCCCGATTCAAGCCAAACAGCAAGAACTGACAACAACCGTGGCTTTGAGGTGTACCAACAGCCCAGCTAATTGGTGGTGTAGAGACTCCAACCTATTTAGCAACAGTAGCTAAATACTATTTTGTTTACAAGTGAACGCTGACTTTTAAAACCAGACTTGAAGGACAATTTGTAGCTATTTCTCTTCATTCCTGCCTCTTGCACAATCCTGGAGTGTAGCAAGATAATTTGGGTGGAGAAAGGGAATAAAATTCAAATGAACTTTAAAAATAGCTGGGCAGATAAATACCTCGCACTCCCACCACTGCTGCTGCTGCTGCTTCTTGGAAGAAGTTGAGTCGGGCGGCTTCATCCTTGGACCACTCAACTTTGTGCTGGTAAAGCTATGTATTCTGATCAGGCAGCACATCAAACGAGACCTTTTTACCCCATGTTTATCAGCCAGCTTTATTATGCCCCCAGATACTGCCGTGTCACTGATGAGACACCTTCAGCATGACCCGGGGGAGCGACACATGTTTACAATCTTTGCTGTGCCTGAATGGAAAAAGTAAGAAACCCTATAATATTGTGGCTGAACCAAATTACAGGAAATTCAAGAAATAGAGAGCCCTGGAGCACGAACAAGGCCATCGCAGGAGTTATTTCTGGGAAGGGAGGGAATGTGATCCATTGGTTTATAGCCAGGAGCTTGAAGTTGTTTGTCGTCTTGGCTCTTCAAGGGCCTGGTCTGTGCCACTATGGAGCTGCTGACCGTTTTGTTTCTCTGTGCAATAAAAAATAAAAACCAAGGATGTGTACGACTTTGTGTTGGGGTACTCAGTTGTCATGCTGTGCCCTTGCCATCTCTCTTTTGTGGCATTTCTCTCTGTGTTATCACATGGATGGACAGAGACTGGCCATACAACCCAAAAATGAACCGGAAGAAGTGTGTAGGTGCAAGGGATTCAAATGTATCTTCACCAGCAATGTTGATATCAGCTGCCAGTGGGTGTGCAGCTGAACATAAATTGTGTTTTACAGGAAAAGAAGGTGATCCCATCAGGATATCTTCAAGACATGCATGCTACCTTCTCCCTTCCCCCTTTCTCAGCAAAGTATCGTGCAACTATGTCACTTAAGTTTGTAATACGGTAGTAGTGATAAGGAAGCAGGGCGGCTTGGACAAAACCAGTCAAAGCCTGGCTAGAGGGAGCTTTTGCTGCCTGGATGGAGACTTCAGCGAGCTCAATGCTATGTGAGGTGTTTCGGCTCCAAACAACCCAGTGCAAATCCAGCCAGGTTAGGAGGAGAGCTGAGCAGGCCCTGCGAGGGAAGGGATTTTCAACTGCTCACCAACAAGCTTCTCCAAGGGATTTGGGTGAAAGGAAATCCACGTCTTGTAGGCAGAAGATGACACAAGGACGCGGCCAGCCTGTCCTTTTCCCCCCTGGGAAAAGCAGAGAAGGAAGGGCATGAGCCAGTGCCTTCCCCACCTCGTGCTCCCACGTGAAACCCTGCTCCGTTTTCTCTCCGGAAGAGGCCCTCCACTTTTACTATTTTCCTGTTCATCAGATGTAGAGGGGGAAAATAACATTTGAGTGTAACATTTTGAAACAGTACATTTAAACAGAATATGCAAGAAAACTAATACCCAGTGCTCTGTACAATGTTTCTCATGCCTAGGTCTCAGCTAAACCAGTTTAGATAAAATAGCATTATCTCAGATTCATTTTGTTAATTACTAATTCTGTTAGAGACTTACCAATTGACATCACAGAGAAGAAAAGACCGAGTGAAGTAATTCTGTGCAGCTCATCAGAAGCCTGCGCTCAGAAAACTAGCTTTTGTTCTTTAATCTCTTACTAATAAATACCCTGAAGGCCAAAGAGTTTTCTCCCCATCCAGTTTCAAGCTGCACATTAAGTTTAGTACGAAGGAGGCAAACTTACCACGCTGAGATACAGCAGGGATACCACTGGCTTCAAGGGCGCTCTTCAAGCGCAAAACTAAGCCGTAACTTGCCTATTTACGCACGGAGTCTCGAACCAGACGTTTCCCTGGGGACTCAGAGAAGGTAGCCCCAGTAGCTAACTTCTGTTCGTGTCCTCAATCAGCGGTGTCACCAATGAGCTTGGGCACGCAAAGCTTTGAAAATGTGCATCTGCTCATGTTTAACACAGAGAAATTAGCATTAAGGGCTTTTTCGGAAATCTGGGTTTCCCAGGCTGGCCGTTGGTTTCATCGGGGTCCTTTAATAAAATACTTCTTGGCTTGCTCCAGGGCACGAAGAAGAGGAAGACTGCTAACATCTGCCAGGCATGACTCCCTGTACCCTCCCTGCGAGAGCTTTTGACTTTGTTTTGATTTTGGTAAGTGAGTCGAAAAGTTTGTACTGAGCTAATTGAGTGCATTAAGCTTGGTAAGGACTAAATTATGTGCTGACATTTTAAGTTATTGCCTGAGATGAAGATCAGAGCGATAAGGAGCGATGAACGTGGACTTTGCGCAAGCGGTGCAAGAGCAGGGGGTTTCTCGCTCGCCTGCCGCACGCCCGCTGCACGCCTTTTACGGGAGCTGGCGGGCGGCTCCCGGGTCTGGAGAGCATCGCAACGACTGAAGCAGTGCAGATCCTCTTTCCGTTTCTTGACACTTCTCCTCGCTGGGAGCCGTAGCCAGAGTTGTTTTGTCTTTGCAAAAAGCCCAGTAGCAAAAGATGGCAGCAACTGGCAGTTATTTAATTCTGTATTGATGGCAGGTGTGTGAAAGTTAATACAGGGAGCATGATGGGCAAAGCCCAAGGTAGAGCCCTTGAAGGTCCATTTGGAGAGAAGGTGTGGGAAGCCATGTGGCAGGTAAGTGGAGCAGGGCAGGGCTTGGCTTTTCTTTCCCTTGCACAGTGAGTGCTGGGAGCTTTCAAAAAATAGAAGGAAAACCCGTGTGCCTAGGAAAGGTGATCCACTTCACCACCCAAGGCGCGTGCCCAGAGAAAAAGCAAGAGGAGGAAAAAGAGATTATTCCCCATCGTCTGATGAATCTCCTCGGCTTCGCAGGGGACGCTGTATTTTGTGATTAGCAGGTGTAATTACTGTGCTGCCCTCCTCATGTAGGAAAGTGCTGTTTTATACCTGCGGAGATGAGGTTCCCAGGAGCAAATTCACTGCGGGACTGGGAGGCCCAGAGGCTCGGCAGGTAGCCCGGGGCCTTGGTGGGCCTTGGTGGGCTGAGCAGTGCTGGGAGGTGGTACCGGTACCTGCGCGTCTGAATCCTGGGCATTTAAATACTCCTGTAAATCTTTCCCAGAGCAAGCCAGGAGTTTTTCCAGGATTTCAGAAACTCTGTAGTAGAGCCCCAAAGGGGAGCCGAATAGCCCCTTTTGACGTTCTGCCGTTGCTGGGTCTGTCTGGGGGCGGTGGCTCGGCCCGGGGCATGGGCAGAGGGTGAGCACCTTGCTCAGGAGCCGGCCACCAGGAAGGACCTCCTGATTGCAGGTTGGTGCTTCACGGGGTTTTGCCTCTGACTTCCAGGAGTCAAGATTTCACCCCAGCCCTTCAGTAACGCCACCTGGCAGGGTGATTTAATGGGGGTTGCGAGGAAGTAAAGATCATTTCTGTTGTCTCGCTGCCGTTTGGAAAGCGTGGGGAGGGAATTTGTTTCTCATCCCCCGTGGTTGCTCTGTAACAATCCGTTTTACAACTTGTTTAATCGCTACCAAGCAGAGCGAAAACGTAGCAAAGCGGCAAGCTGCTTGCCTACAAATACGCCCAACAGCACAATCAAGTTAAACGTCATTTAAATAAGATCAAATTTAAAAGGCAATGACATTAAGTCCTAGCCCCAAAACTTATCCACATCCCTGAAAACAATTTCCAAAACTGTAGCCACGCTGCGATCTAATAAAGGTCTCGTTACAGAGAAAGCGTCTGCCTCGAAGCCTGCCGTTTAGCGATAGGAGGTTTTTTCCCCCCTTATGGAAGGGATGCAAACAGCCGTCATAGCTGCGTTTCTGTTTTACAAATAAAGTTCCAAGACGTGACTCAGTTTGCTGGCAACGCTCGAAAGGGTGTGAGCTCTCAGCCCAACTGGCACATGCTTGAAAACACTCTTAGCTCCTTCCCACCCCCCCCCCACCCCGACACCTTCGTTTTTGGGAGGAAAAAAAAATAAATTGGCAGAACAGGATGTTCCAGAGTATCGTGGTGCCCAAAAGCAGCTGTCTCCTCTGCCTGCCCTTCTCTGATAAAGCTCTTGAACCTTTAGAGAAATAGGAACCAGTTCAATGCCAACTTTTTTGTTTTTAAAGAGGGATTTTTTTTTTCTGCCTGCCTTGACATTTAATGGACTCCTGTAATGCAGCATCAGGCTCGCGTAAAGGGCGCTGAGGGGAGCGATGGTGAGGAAACCCGATATGATTAATAAGAACAGTTTGGAGGGAGCGTTGCAAAGTTACGCAGGGAAATAGTTGGGAAACGTGCAGCCTGGGGGAAAAGCGGGGTGTTGCGCTTCCTCGGAAAGCCTTGCTTCAAGCCGTGGAAAGGCACGGTGGTTTTTTTTCATTAGTTAACACAGCTGGGGGGGGGGCGTGCGCAGGCGTGAAAACGCGCTTGGAGCTGCCGCGTTGAAGGCAAGCGGGGCGC